GTGTGTGTGTGTGAGACTGTGTGACAGAGAGAGAGGCTGTGTGTGTTGGAGTGTGGGAGTGTATGTGTGTGTTGGTGAGTGTATCTGAGTGTGTGTGTGTGTGAGACTGTGTGACAGAGAGAGAGGCTGTGTGTGTTAGAGTTTGGGAGTGTATGTCTTGGTGAGTGTTTGTGAGTGTGCGTTTGAGTGAGTGTGTGAATGAGAGAGGGTAGAAGACGAAAGTATGTACCAACCGGACACAGTAAGATCTCAGACTCAGTTGCAGACCCGTTTATTCAAGTTGATGAAATACAAAAGGGAATTTCTTCTCTTCCAGATGGAGCCCGCACGTCTATAACAGTAAAGCTGACGGTCCGTTCGGGGAAAAGTTGTAGCGGAAGACCGCTGCCAACCCCACCCCTCCGGGGGGGCTGCTCACCTTCATCCTCGCAGAGGCTCCTGCACCCGGACGGGGTATTTTTGATGCTGTAGTTTCCCACCCCCGCCCCCAAACCTTCCCCTCTCTGCCGAGCCCCCAGTGGACTGGATGTGGGCAAGCGGCTCTGCCTTGTGCCGTTGTGGAAGTTGCGGCGATCGGAGTGACACACTGGCGAGTGATGGCCTTGGAAGGTGCCCAGGGAGCCAGAGGGGGCCGTGCCCACCCGGAGAGATTGGCAGCAGGCCGGGGCCAAGGCGGTCCCCAGGGCATGAGAAAGATCACCGCCGCCTTTGTGAAGCAGGCGAAAATCCACGGGGTGAAGTATGTCTGCTCCCAGCACTACTCCCTGCACCATCGGGTCGTCTGGTTCCTGGCTTTTTGCACCTCGCTGGGTTTCCTGATCTCCTGGTCATCCAACCGGTTCCTGTACCTGCTCTCGTTCCCGTCTCACACCCGCTTCCACATGGAGTGGACCAAGGAGCTGAACTTCCCTGCCCTCACCATCTGTAACAACAACCCGATCCGCTTCTACCAGCTAACCAAAAGTGACCTGTACTACGCGGGCCAGTGGTTGGGGTTACTCACTGAGAACCGAACCGCCCGACCCCTGGTCATTGAGCTCATTAAAGAGGAGAGGCAGCAGTGGTTTCAGAAACTTTCCGATTTCCGCCTCTTCCTGCCGCCCCGCACTTTCGAGGGCATCAGCCTGGATTTCATGGACCGCTTGGGTCACCAGTTAGATGACATGCTGCTGTCCTGCAAATACCGAGGGGATATGTGTGGGCCGCAGAACTTTACCTCAGTGAGTCTCTCGCCATTTTGTCCTTTTTTTCTCTCTTAAAAACCCCAACTCTTCTAATTTGGAAATTTTACATGACCCTGAGTCTCAACAAAGTTTAGGCTGGAGTCCGGTGCATGCAGTTTTCTAAAATGATGAGGCCCTGAATGGGTTCCAAATGTTTATGTATCTGCTTGAAATGACTAACTCGCTACATCCCAGCTTTGAGTTGTTTCACATCATGTGATCGTAGTAAACGACGCTGAACTTTAAATGCTGATATAATGCTCGTGTTGTCTCAGTGAGTTGAGTCTAATGGCTTTAACATGAGGTATTCGAAGCTGAATGTTTGAAGGGAATGTAGCAAAATTCGGATCAGAAACCGTTAAGTGTGCATATATCAGAACTTGTGTGTGTTTCTTGGAAGGACTTGTGGTGTAGTGAGTAGCGACCCGCCCCACCCCCACTCACTCACTCTGAACCAGGAACTTCAGACTCCAGCCCCGCACCAAGAAGTGATAGCCAGGGGTATGAAAAAAAATTGTTCAACCAAGTTGATGAGCTTTCCAATGTGATAGGTGCTGAGAGCTAGAAAATGTCCTGTCAGTCATGCTAGATGCAGAGAGTAGCCACAAACTGCAAGTGCGTGCCTTGTCAACTTCATGGGAAAGCTCTAAGTCTAATTAAAGATGTGAATGAAGAAGATCATTCCAGATGACCTTAGTTGTTGGGAAGGATTTTGTGAGCACATTAATTCCACTTTACAATTATGAAGCTAATTGCTAGGCCATGTAATCAATAATGACAAACAAACCATTTGCTGGATTCCTGGGATCAAGCTAGACTTGATGTTCCATTTTAGACTTATTAATTATATACCAAACATATCACAACATTTGCTCATCATGGCTTCTTAGCAACTTGAGGTGAACCAGATACTTTAAAGAGACATAATAAAAGCAAAATACAGTGGATGTTGGACATTCTGGAATCAAAACAGAAAATGCTGGAAAAACTCTGCAGATCTGGCATCATCTGTGGAGAGAGAAACGGAGCCAATGTTTCGAGCCCAACCACTTTGCTTCAGAGCATCTTTTACAGAATGGAAAGGAAGAGTCATTTGATGCAAAAAGCTAACACTACTTTTGCCTCCCAAGAAGCTGCCAGACCTGCTGAGTTTCTCTAGCACTTTCAGTTTTTATCTTTAAACAGGTATGCTCACTACAGAAAATCCCAAAACAGGGTGCTGTACAAATAGTTTCAATATTTCCACACTGCTTATTAAGAAAACCTAGGCTGCAACAATCCTAAACCATTGTGTTATTAATGAATATGGAATGGGAAAATTATATTTTTTATGTAGACACAGATTGTGGTGTCAGATACCATGGCAGTTTATTCCAAACAACTGTCAAATAATATTCTTGGTCACACAACTAGCATATCAATGTTCCTTTAATCCCATATAGAGAACATACACTTGACACATCCCACGGTTAGACAAGGAGTAGGTGTATGATATAGATGGCAAGTCAGGCTACAGCATGATGTCATTGTGAAGTAGAAAGTAAAGGTCTGTGTTTCTGCAGTTTTTGCATGGCGATTGCACCTTTTGGACAAATGATTAACACATTTGTGTCCAGTTCCTCTGCTATCTTTCAAAACCTTCAGCTCATTGTTAAAGTGACAGATTCAAAAAAATGATACAAATGTGTTAACTTCCCTATAATCTAATTGCTCAGCCTAATTTCTATTAAGTTTATACTGGCTGAGGCAGTGTTTGGTGAAGCCAAAACACTGACTCATATTCACATTCAGAATGATGGGATGGAAGTTTCCTGTCTTGATCCATTTAACATTTCTACCCAGTATGATTTTTGGATTAGTTTGGCATGCTTAACAATCCCATTAATTGGGTAGAAAGTATCTGTTGAGATGCTTGGTAGAGAAAATTAAAATTTCCCACTGATGCAGTAGAGGGTGCTATTCTGACTGAAGTGTGGTCTCATGTTAGGTCAATGCAAAGGGAGTGTCATTGTCTGTCTTCCCATAAAATAAAACAATGGAATCATATAATAGTTACGGCACAGAAAGAGGCCATTTAATCTATCATGAGCGCTGGCTCTTTGAAGAATCAATTTATCTGGAGCCATAACTTTTCCCTCTGCCTGCACCCATGCACATCCTTCCTTTGCAGATAATTATCTAGGTCTCTCTTGAAAGTCTTGATTGTACCTGGCTCTACCACAGTCTCAACAATCCCTATTCCAGATCTTAACCACTGGCTAATCAAAAAAGTTCTTTTTCCCCTCATGCTGCCATTGCTTCTTTTGCCAATTGCCGGAAATCTGTACCCTGTAATTCTTTACCCTTCCAGCGATGAGAAGAATTTCTCCCTATCTGTCTTGATTTTCAAAACTGTTCTCAATTCTCCTTTCAATGCTCTCTTCTTTCAGCACAGCAGTCCCAACTTCTTCCATCTATCAATGTAACTGAAATTTCTTATCACTGAAACCATTTGCACGATTTTTTTCTGATCCCTTTCTAATGCCTTCACGTCATTCCTGAAGTGTGATGCCCAGAATTGGATTCAATGCTCCTATTTAGCTGAAGCAGTACTTTGTACAGGCTCAGCTTCCTTGCTTTTGTACTCTATGGTCATGTTAGTAGGATGCTGTATGCCTTATTAATTGTGCAGTCAACATTTCCTGTAACCTTCAATGATTGATGCACATGTACATCCAGGTCCCGCCAATCCTTAATCCCTTTAGGATTATACATTTTATTTAATATTGTTTCTTGTGTTCTTCTGACCAAAGTTAATTACATCACATTTCTCTGCATTAAATTTCATTTGCCACTTATTCAGCCATTCCACCAACCTCTGTATGTCCTTTTGAAGTTGCCCACTATCCTCCTCACAATCACAGCGCTTCCAAGTTTTGTATTGTCTAAGAGTATTGAAATTGTGCCTTGTACACAGAGGTTGATGTCATTAATGTCTGTCAGGAAGAGCAGACGGCCTAACTTTGAGTTTCTGGTTTTTGAGTTAGTAACCTATGCTTTTCCATGTGTCTGAAGTTAATAATTAATTTGTAAATTAATTTCTGTAGCCACAATCTTTTAAAACAGCTTTTGAGGCTTGGCTTTAGACTGAATTGATTTGTGTGCACCACTAAAGAATTTTTTTTGTTAAATCTTGGGTTGTTTTGTGATCCAACAAGGTAAATAACAGGGCCTCAATGTTTGTAGGAGACTTCTGGGAATTTGTTTTTTTTTGTTAAGGTTAAGGGAAATACCAATAAGTATAAAGAGACTTTTGGTCTCAGTTTACTTTGTTTTAAGCAGTCCTAACTCATCCTTAGAACAGAATGGTTGTATACAGTAGTGATCCTGAGAAGCAAAGGATACTTAAGCTACTTTAGAGTGAGTAGTAGTGTTAATCTTAGACTAGAGGTGTTAGAATAAACCCCTAAAGAGGTTATTTTAAAGCTGAATGCATTGAAGCTGATGTGTATGGTAATTCCAGGAAAGAGTTATCTGCAATGCTAGTTTAAATTTTAAATCACCAAGTAACTTAAACCTACTGAGGTTTTAGATGCTGGGACTCTAATATGAGTATTGAATGAGTGGTGTTTATGGTACTGTATCATGGGTATGTTTTGGGTACTATCCAAAAGATGTTTTTTGATTCTTTTCACTTTTATGAAGGAGTATTTTGGGATTAACAGGATTGTAATTTTACTGTATGGTTAAAAATCTTTGAAAGTAAATGATTTGGTTTATTTTATCTTCATTTCTTTTGTTAATAAACTCATGTTTATTGTCAAAGCAAAATTTGTACCATTGTGTGCTTATATTTCAGTGAGACCACCTTGTTAAAACTGAAACAAATCAAATTATGACCTGACTTGACCAGTAATAATGTCAGCTGGGATCATAACCTACACCAACGTCTGGGGAAGCCCACTGTAAACCTCCTCCCATCTGAAAAACAACTGTTAACCGCTATTCTCATTTCTTGTCCTTTAGCTGATCTTGAATCATGAACTTTACTCCACGAGCTCTAACGTTCATAATCTCATTGTGTCTCATTTTGTCAAATACCTTTGGAACAACCTTTGGGGCGGCATGGTGGCTCAGTGGAACAATTTAAAGAAACAGCTGTGCAACAGTGTAAATAGTTACAGTGGGTTGATGCTGTCTAATACATTAATGGTTATATTAGGACTGGTGGTGTCTGACAGTATAGCGTATTACAATAGAAGTGGTGTTGGGCAACAGTACAAATGGCCAAGCACTAAATTTGCCGCATTCTAGAATTGTAGCTGGTAGTGTTATGTAGCAGCATGGACAGCCACGCTTAGGGTTGTAACTTGGTTATATCCACATCAATAAATGTGGCAGAACTGAAAATGTTCCCTGTTACAAAAACAGCTATTTTGTAATAATAAAAAATAGTCATAGACTCGCATCTATTCTGTGTATGTCTAAAGTAACAATCAGAATAGTGGCATTCTCTAAAAGCAGTGACAAGGCAGCCCAGTGGCTGAGTAGTTAACACTGTTGCCTCACAGTGCCAGGGACCTGGGTTCAATTTCATCCTTCGGTGACTGTCTGCGTGTGTTTCCTCTGGGTGCACCGCTTTCCTCCCACAGTCCAAAGATGTGCAGCTTAGGTGGATTGGCCATGTTAAGTTGCCCATAGCGCCCAGAGATGCGCAAGCTAGGTGGACTACCCATGGGAGATGCAGGGTCACAGGGATAGGGTAGTGGGTGGGATGCTCTTTTCAGGGCCAGTGTGGACTCAATGAGCCAAATGATCTGCCCCCACACTGTAGGGATTCTATGACATTTCCCATTTGGAAAGCCATAGTTGTATTAAAGTAAAATAGTCATATGTACGATACTGGTAGTGTCTAGACAATGTTGATTAGGTCACGTATGTTGCCCCACACAGACAATTGCCTCCACTTTAGATTCCTGGATAAATATATCTGATCCACCAACTTGATACACATTCAA